CGTGGGCCACCCTGCCCAACGGACACTTCAACCGCCGTCCGGATACGGTTTCCAACATTTACCTGAATTGGATCGGACGCTCTCTGAAGATCAAATTTTCTCAACCATTCCGCGCCATATTGAATTAATTGTGAAATAGGGCACACCAATATAGCATAATTCTTGTTCTTATTGAAGTACCCAACAACAGCTCCAGCCAGTAGGAATCGGTGGAGAACAGATAAATGCTAGTTTGTCATCACTACTGCTCATATTAAACTCGAGTACTGGAATCTTATGCGCAAAATACACACTTTTAAGATTTTCAAACCATATTATGATACTGAAAGAGGGCGCTAGTCAAAACGTAAGAAAACCCTCAAACACAATACACACGCTTGTGCGACGAGAAAGCGCTTCCCGACGTAAAGGGAAAGGAGTTCCGATTTATAGGGGAGAAGAACGGTTTTAGGACTTGAAGACAAATTTTCAAAAGAATTAAAGAGTATATCTTTCCTAGAGGTACATGCAAACACCCCATGGGCTCCTAAAGGCCTTACAAATTCACCTTACCTTGAAAATCTGAGTTATAATTAAACAATGTTATTTTGCAGCTTAAACTTATTCAAGATCTTGGGTATACGGAGCTTAGACTTCGAAGAGCTTGAGCTTGAACTTCCGTGGGAAATATTCAGCAGAAAAGACTGGCTTACGCCATCTAGAATAAAAGACAGAGACGTCGGTCTCGCCACCAGTACAAATTCTGTATCTCGCACAATGATTGTGACTCCATAAAACATATCACGTTTGCATGTGGGAACACCATACTGCACTTCTTTTGTTATATATTCCCACAATGGATGTAAAAGGCACATATGCGTACTATCATGTGACGACTAAGCGGAGCTCTAATGAAAAGTCGGACAAAAGTGTGGAGATGTTAATTGTCTCACATGTCCAGATGCCTTGAAAGACTTAAGAATTTGTCAATGATTTCGTTTTGTTTTAAAGGAAAATTGCCTTGTGGTATCGCAGCAATAACTCGTATCTCGTACAAGATTTATTCTAACTCGAGCCTTAAGAGCGAGAGGTAAAACGTTAGAGTGATTTACGCAAATGCGCTTGCTCCTGCATTTACGCTAGGACATCTCACTGACATCATCACATATCGGAAAGATCACACCTCTTGTTCGATGACATCATTCTTTAGATACATATGGAAACGAGAGAAGCGCTCTCCAAGCTGGCTAAGAAAACTGGTGGACATGATAAATGGATAATCTGGAGTTTCGGAATCGTTGCGGTATTTACTGTCTCAAGGACGTTCTATTCTTGATCCACGAGAGTATTCGCCGTGTTCGCATTGTACACATGTGCATTGCACTCTATGCCGACGCTTTTGAATCAATAGGAACATTTTAGCGGCCCAATCATCTTGTCTTAGCTGACAGAAAGAGCTCATTGTTGATAGCTGTAAAAATCGTGATAGGATCCTTCGAACCTTATCATCTGGAAATATGAGTGATGCATTGATTTGTGAAGTGAAATGGGGTCAAAGTAATGATGCATGCTTCAATGTAAAAGGATGCTTTGTCTCATGGTCTGTTTCATTCTTATAACACTTTTCTTGGTGACACACCATCAGCACAACCTTGAGCGAACGACGTTGATGTCCAAGGCTTGTGGGTTCCGGGTCGCTGAACTTTGAGGCTGAACGACCTCTTGGACCATACTTTTGAGCTTGATGAGCTGTGAGATTTACATGTCATCGCAAAGACTTCGCCAGAATTTCGGTAAACAAGCAAAACAGTTGTGCCTTGGCTGATCCATCACAAAGACCACTCATCAATGTCATCACTCAATTTGACATGTCAGCTGGACTGCCGGCGACAAATGGCACTCCATTTTGCTTTCGTTGAATGAATGCGTGATTATTCCTGCTGCTTCACCATGTCTGATAAGGATTCGAAACTAATTCCGAAGAAGTCCGCAGGTCGCTCAATAATTCATCAAGGTTTGAGAAGCAGTCTTGATTAAATGCTCGCAGACCAAGGGCCGATGACTTGGCTATCCAAGCAATCTGAAGCATTACACATCTCACTTACTGATCCTCGTCAGAGACGTATAAAGATCCCATCATCAAGCTCATAGAGCCATCGTAGGAGTTATCTCTTCTCATTGTCATCCTATTTGTTATTACCGATATTTGACACTTTCAGCAATAATACACCTCGGTGTAGTCATCTAACCATGTCAAACCCATTTCTATTTGGTTAGGTGCGCAAATGTTTCTCAAACTAAGCTGGCTCAGATTGAAGACCAAGTTGTTAATAGTGGTCGTAAAGCTTAACTGCTGAGTTCTACAAGGTGTAATGGGCCCGGATTTAGTACACGTTCTGACTCCCAGTCAACAACTAACTATTTATTGGTGGTGGGTGGTGCACGCCCTTATTACAAAACTTCTTAGAAACCTGGCTGTAGACAATCTTTCAGGTAACCGTGTCGTGAGTGTTTGCTTCACAACATGTATGGTCTCCATTGTAATATGATTTACTTTATACAGTCGTACTAAAATCTTGACGGATGCACTTGGTTGGTTGAGTGCAAACCAATCTATTTTGCGTAAGATAACAAATTCGCGGAGTCTCAGCTTGTTGGAATGTGGATGTTTAAAAACACCTGATGTATTCGAACCAAGACATTCTCCCTGCACCTAGCTCCTAGATTATGCAGGTGGACCGAGACCCCCCGCGGCCCCTCAGGCCTCTTCAACCTCCAACGTCCATCCGGATAATCGTATCCGGATCCGTTTTCCAACACGCCTTCTTCGAAGCCCTCAGCTTCGATTGTGATGCGGCTGGTTCATCATCCCCATCATACCACACAGCTTGTCTAGTCGAACCGTATCGAGTGGCTTGGTAAACGCATCGGCCGGGTTGTCTTGTCCCTTTACCTTCACGAGCTTAATCAGACCACGCTGCACCTAGTCACGCACAAAGTGCTACCGCAGCTCGATGTGACGCGTGCGCCGCAAATAAGTCGGGCTGGTAGCCATCACATGTGCCGCACTATTGTCGATACCAACGACCGGTCGCACGTGCATAGTCGGGAATATCTCAGACGGAATATTGAACTGCGTTTTCGCTTCCATAGCAGCTTCACATGCAGCCACATACTCAGCCTCAGCCGTGGATTGAGCCCCAATCGACTGACGCTTGAACATCCATGTCACCGCTCCACTCACCAGCATAAAGACAAACCCGCTCGTGCTCTTCCTGGTCTCGAGGTCACTTCTCTATACATTATCATAGAATCCGCTCAGGGCCAGCTCCGTACGGGCCCCAGATCCCTTCATGTACATAATGCTGTGCGTCTGAGTGCCCACAAGGTATCGTAAGACGCGCTTGAGTGTTGCCACATGCTTCACAGTCTGGTTGACAACGAATCTACACAACTGGCCGAGTGCAAATGCCAGATCCGGCATGGTTCCGGTCGCGAGATACATGAGCATGCCCAGTGCTCCCCGGTAGTCAAAGCTGGAGTCAAAGTTGTCGTCCTCCGTAGCTGGTGCGAGTTTCGTGGTGGACTCTATGGGGTTCCAACACTTGTTCGCTCCGCCAATGCCGAGCTTGTACAACACGTCCTTTGCATATTTCTCTTGGCTGGTGAACCCACCTTCTTCGGTTTGGGCCACTTCGATACCCAGAAACTCAGCCAACCTCCCGTGATCCTTCAGGCCATACGCCTAGTCGAGCTCAGCAAACAACCCGTTCTTGCACTCCTCATCATGCATGGCACAAACCACGTCGTCCACGTAGATCAATTGCAGCACGAACTTCTCTCCGTCGATCAAGTAATAGAAACAGGGTTCCGTAGCACACCGTTAAAATCCGCGGTTCAAAAATCACCCATTGATCTTCGAGTTCCATTCACGGCCGGATTGACGCAAGCCATACAGCGCCTTCCGCACTACGTAGACATACGACGGGTCCTCACACGGAAACCCATCGATCCCATCGACATACGGAGCGATCTCAAGCGTTGCATTTAGATACGCAGTGTTGATGTCCCCACCATAAAGTACAAGATCAAACTCTGCTGATATGGCCGCCGTGATCCGGAACGAGGACATTCTCGCAACAGGCGACGAAGTTTCCATAAAATTGATTTCTGGCCTCTGATAGTTTCCGTGCGCCACGACTCTCGCCTTGAATCTCACAACGAAGCCTTGCGCATCCGTTTTGATCGCGTAGACCCACTTGGCCTTCACGGTTTTTGGCATCTCGGTCCTCTTGACCTGTCCCAAGACCTCCTTGTTTTTGAACGCGGTCATTTCCTAAAGCTCAGCCATTCGCCAGGAATCCGCATACTTAGAACTAATAGCTTGACGTCGATTTTTTGGGACTCGGATGTTCTTGGCACCAATCGATCTGCCATCACGACCCAATGATTTA